TAGATATTTACTGGTCTGTATTTTTGTAAGTATTCTTTTAAAACTTAAATTTTAGATCTCTTTTTTGGTATATAATTATATAATTCCATTAAAAAGTTCTCAAAACCATATCGTTTTGTAAAGCTTTTTCGTTTTCTTTATATATTTATTTTCAGTAAGCGTAATAAAATGTTTATGTAAAAATATTTTATTGTAAATATGTAAGTTAGTATTATTATTGTTATATTTGTTATAAGTTGTGTAAAATAGCCGAGTTGTTTGTTAAGAGATATTTATTTTTCTTTCTTTTGTGGTGATGTTCCCTACTACAATACACGCTCGTTAAATGAAATAACTCGTGGAAATGTTTATCATAACTTTGTATTTTACCAAAGAATCCTGAGTTTTATTAATAATATACAAATTATATAAAATTTCAATGCTATTTTTAGCCAACTAATGCTGGGGTTTGCAACACAAAATGTCGTAATCATGCATTTACTTGCGGTCAATATTCCTTTCTTTAGTTTTTGAATGTATGTTTTGTATGATGTAATACAAGAAATATTTTAGCTTTATTGGAGTAATATGTGAAGTAATACCGACTTTTATTGCATATTTTGTTTTTCATACAAAGATATTGAAAATATTGCAACGAAATGTTTTACTTTAAGACTTTGAATATCCAGGCCCTTCAGTGAATAGACACGAAAACTTTTTACTTTAAAAAATCTCTAACAAAAATTATTTTATACATTTTGTTTGAATTAGTAAACGAAATAGTTTAACGGTTTGTGTGTGATTCCTTTGTAACGACTCAAAATCATCCGGATGACCAACCTAGAAAAAAAATTAACTTCTGCTTTTGTAAGTCCATATTTTAGAAAAGGTCTTTTCTCTTCTTACTATTTCATTTGTATAAAGTGTTCATAAACACAAATTTTGCTTTAAACAACAAAAACAAAAAAGTTATGAAACATATTACAAATCCTCAATAATATTATTATACCTATATGTATAATTAATTATATTTTTATCTGACGAAGCCACTGTGAGAAGTAATATTTGTGGATTTACAGTAAAAGTTTTATGGAGTTACAAGAATTTCGTGGGTGTATACATAAAGTTTATAGAATTTGTCTGAATAAAAAATTTAAAAAGAAAATCGTACAAATGCTGCTTGTCTCTTGTAAGTACATATGTAATAGACACAAAAAGTACGGAAGTACATAAATACTTTTTGTTACAATTATACAAGATCCATTTGTACTTTTAAAAATTTTAAAGCAATTTGCAGTAAAAGTATTAAATATAGGCAAACAAAAATTGGGTGATCAGTGGTGTCAAAAGGGTTGCCTATGTATTTCTTGAAAAGTATAAGAAAATAAATATACATATAGGTACTTTTGGTATTAAATTTTGTAGTGTCTTTGCACATTAATTATAATTGATTTTAATCATGTTAAAATAAAAGTAAAAAATATGACGCAGTTGCAATTT